ATGCTTAGTTTTAGTTTAGTTTTTATTAGTTCTAGTATTAGTTTTTTTATTGTTTGGATAAATATATTTGCCAAATGCATCAAGCTTGTTCCTGTGAGTTAAAGCTTAACTAGTTAAAGCAGTCCATTATAGCAACACCTTCCTAAAATAATTGTTTAACTTAACTGCTTTCTCCCAACTTTTGTTGTCGTCGTGTAGCAGATGATGCTGAGCAGCAGTCAATAAGTGTTGTTACAGACCACAGCTAATGTGAAACTACTCAATTAGGAAAAAAAGAATATAAAAATAAATTGATAAACACTAAAACTAAGGATATTCTATCTATAATTTCAGTTAGTTTTAGTTAGTTTTGTAAAAAGATTATACAGTTTTAGTTATTGTTTTTCTTTTTCATTTTATTACAGTTTTTATTTATTTTAGTTAACTAAAATGTTTTTTTAATTGCAGTTTTTGTTATTTAGTTAGTTTTAGTTAACTATAATAACCCTGTTCTTATTTCAGTGGTAAACTTTAAATTTATGATTATATGCAACAAAATAATCAAATTTAAAAGGTGAAAGATAATAACTGAGCTGTTGGCTTTAAGTAACTGAGCAGATTAGTTGGAAAGAAGACTATTAATGTTTTAAAATAATCTGCTTTAAAGTCAGCATCAACCATAAACTACATCTCCCATCATGCATGTTGGTCATCCATGAGAAGTTTTGAATTTAAGATGGCAGCTCCTCAGTGAGTAAAACTTTATTAGTTTTAATAATATTTCTGTTTTTATTACAGATTTAGTCAGTCGTACACCTAGTTATTATCAGTGTTTAAAAGAGGACGTGTTAAAACTCTGTTTAGTCAAAGTTAACTACAACTGGCCCTTTGAGGGCCACCGTAAGGCTCATGTGGCCCTCGGTGAAAATGGTCTGACACCCGGATGTGAATATTTAATCATGAAAGATTTTTGCAGAAAAAAATGAGTTAAAATTTTTTGCAATTTTGTTGTAAAATAGCCAAAAAAAATCTGAAATTAGCAGAAAAGTAGCTAAAACCTAGCTTGAAAGTGTAGTTCTTGAGATATCCTGATGCATCTCAGTAATCCAGGTAAAAAATCAAAAAGAAAAAAATAGTATAGGTCTTCTGGATGGTTTTTCTCTAATGAAACGTTTCGTCTCTCCTCCAAGAGACTTCTTCAGTCTGAGAGTTTCAGGCTAAATTCAGGCTTTGAAGTCACATGGAGGCAGGGCTTAAAAGCCTGAATTTAGCCTGAAACTCTCAGACTGAAGAAGTCTCTTGGAGGAGAGACGAAACGTTTCATTAGAGAAGAACCCGTCCAGAAGACCTATACAATTTTTTTCTTTTTGAGTTCTTGAGATATTTTGCTAACAGATTGAAACACAGGCACATCATCATTCTCCTCCTTCACTCTGCCTGTTTTCTGTGTTTTAGGCTCGATGGAGGTGGTTCTGGTCCGAATGTGTCGCTTCTTTAACACGGAGAACAACACGGTGTTCTTTGATGGGAAATTTGCTGGAACTGAAGTCTTCAAGTCTTTGGGTGAATATTTGACACAAAATAAAAGATGTGCACAGATACGAGCAGAGTTCACCGTGCTCACCGCTGTGTCTTTGTGGCGTCTCTTCTCCAAGCCTGCGGGGATTTAATGGCGGCGGTGTTCGACTTCGCTCACGACATGTGTGCTCTGAAGCTGACTGAGCAGCAGCTGGCTCTCTTCAGTGCTCTGGTTCTGATCAACGCAGGTAACATGACTTCAACCAGCTTCATGCTCCGCTTCTTCTTTAACCCAGGGCTTCACTTTTATTTGTTTACCCTCAAACAACAGTGTCAGAGCGTTGTAACCCCACTGTCACTGATTAAAGGGGCTGCCACATGCTTTTCCTTCAGTTACAAAAAAATAAAGAAAATATCCTATTTTAGAAATTGGGCATCATTCATATGATTTTTACACATTTTGTCACAAAACGTGCATATTTTTCACTAAATTTGGTGCAGTCCAAGTGAAACAGGAAGTGATGTCAAAGGGAACATCTTTAAAAAAGTGGTAACTTCCTGGTCTTTATAAATCTGACTCTTCTTTATCTGATGATGACTGAAAATAATCTACAGAAACATGTGATTCTCTGCAGTCTGTTGTTAGCTGTTGTAACAGCTCATTTAGGCATTCCCCTCTGACATCACTTCCTGTTTCTGTTCATGCAAATATCTCAACAACGGTTCATCTCAGTGTCGTGAATTTTTGTTTGCAATTCATCATTAATGTTATCTTTCCTAATGTGCACTTAAATATATCACTTAAATTTGATGTCACAGGGACTTTAAAATGCTTAAATAAGTGATTAAACGAGGGTGTCATGTTACAAAGATGATCTTTACAACTCCTGCTTTAATTTATTATAATATATGTGCCAAAATGTGTTATTAGAAGACATTTTTAATCCTTTGAAATGATTTAATTTGAATTCTGGACATCATTTTAAGACCCTCTCTTTTCATGACCCGTGATAGGCTCCCGACCCCGACAATGGGGACCACCCACTCGTAACCCAACAAAAAGTGAATTATTAAACATATTTGTGACATTTTAATGTTAAAATGATGCAAATGTCAGGATTTGGATTTTATACCCACAAGGTTTCTTAAAAGCAGTTTTAACTCATTTTGCATCAAAGATGTTCCAGGATTTATTTAAGTATTATTTTTTATTGTTGAGCAATTCAACAAAATAATGTTTATAAAGTAAAGATCAGTTTTATTCAAATATAGATGAAAAGAAACAATATTTCATCTCAAATGAACTTTATTTAACAGTTGGCTCAGGACCTTTTGTTTCAGAACTAGTTATCTTGCCACCTAGTGGTCAGTATTTGGTATTGCAGATGCTTTTCTGTTTTACAGGTTTATACTTTTTATTTGTAAGCAAATCAAAATAGATGCAAATCCTTTAATGCTATGTATACATTTACAAACATTTTCAAACACTTTGTGTTTTGTTATTTAATGACTATTTTAGTTTTGGCTTCAGTTTCTTTAAAGCATCTTTTCCAAAGGTTATATTTGCTCCCACTGGTCAGAAATGAGGAGAATCTGCTCAGACTGGCTCAAACTAGCTCCAAGTTTGGCTTCATGCAAGTGTTTTATGTAGAAATGCAGAGAAATGAGGAGCAAAATGATTGAATTTTAAATGAAACTTTTCAAGTTGCTCCAGAAAAGGGTCTTCTGTGGGAAATATGAAGACCCTCTGGTTTCAGCTTTAGGTTTTGTTTACACTTTGTAGACTCGCTGTCGCACCTTGAACAAAAGGAAAATTGAGTTAAAATTATTCACATTTATCTTAATGGTGCAGTTTTCACCGATCTATGAAACAAACATCTTTGTTCTATTTCGTGTAAGCTCCGCCCTCTAAGGCTATCGCAGATGGGTACCCCCGCACACGCTCACGCATTCTGAAGAGCCAATAGTCTACGCCCACGTCACGTGGGCCCCACCTAGGTCCGTATAAAAGGGGAGGACGGACCTGTGCTCSGCTCCCCTTTTTTCTTCAGCTTTACGAGAGCAGTAGCTACGCTATTCGTACAAGATGCCAGGCAAAGCGAAGATCTGCCCCGTCTGCGAHACCGGCTACATGCTGTCCACCGACCTGCACGTCGATGCCTCGGCCCTGCACACGCCAACCAAGCTCTGACGGCCGAGCCGGCGTGCCGGGCATGCAAGAAACTGTCGGTGGAGGAGAGGCAGCGGCGGGCTGATCTCTTCGCTGAACCGGATGAAGGGTTCGAGCTGTCCGACCACGTCCCGCTCGAACAACCCGTCGACTTTGGACCGGAGTCGGACGACCCCGCGTCAGARCCTGAAGACGACAGTGGCGGCCCAGTCCACCCCTCCCAGGCGGCAGCGCCGGACTCAGACCTCCCAAGTGCGGAAGGATCCAGGGACCTGGGTCTTCCTYGCTCTTCCTCCACGCCACTACCAGCCATTGGGGTTCTTGTGAGCGCCCACCCCGACATCATCCGGAGGGCAGCGGACGCCAGAGGACTGACGGTTCCCGAGGTTCTGGCTCCTCCGCCGGACGAACTGGCGGGCCAGTTCGCGTCTCCCCTTGCCGGTCGCCGAATTGCGGTTTGGCCGCAGTTCCCGGTGGTACAGTCGTACCTCACATCTTCCTTCAGCGACCCCTCCAAGCTGAGAGCTCCGGTCACGACCTACGTGGACGTGACCAAGGTGGAGGGGATGACCGACTCCGGTTTCCCGCCGGTCCCAGCTCTGGAGCCCGCGCTCTCCAGKGTTTTTGGCGTCGAAGCGGTCCGGTCGGCCGRACGGCGACCTGTCCCCCACAACGAGGCAGACAAGCAGCTCGTCAGCTGGACTGACCGGGCTCATCAGTGTGCAGCACAGTCCGGTGCGGCCACCAACAACATCGCTCTCCTGGCCTACAACATCTCCAAGAGAGCGGCAGAAAGCGAGGCGCGTCAGGAAGAGAAGATGGAGCTCTGCGCGGCAGCCGACACGATCCTCAATCTCTGCGCCGCTCAGGCGGTGTGCGTGTCCCGCATCAGGTCCTGGATGACGCTGATACAGAGGCAGATGTGGCTGCGTCTCGCTTCCTCTGTTTCCGCGGACATGCGGAAACAGATGCTGGAGGGACCCATCATCGAAGACGGGCTCTTCGGCACGCAGTACCAACAACTGCTGGAGCACCTCAACACGTCGCAGACGGTCCAGGAGCAGTTTCGGCGGCAGTCCCGCTCCAGACC